CTATCGATTTATTCCATCAAGTATCTTGTTGTTTCCTTGGCCCAATTGTATTGATTTATGTTATCGATGAAATTGCAATTCTTAGCCAAACTCTAAGGGAGTTTCCTCGCTGAGTTCCTAAGTAGATTTGTGTTGAGCAAATATAGAATTATAAGGCAAGCTGCATCTTGATCCCCTTCTGTTATCCTAGTATCAAATGCAACTTGAATTGTGTGTGCAATTTCTCTTCTACCAATTCTTGTCATTTCCAAGAAGTATTTATCAACAAATCTGTTTTCTTTTGACCTTGGGATTCTTGAGTCTCTTATTGACTGAGGGGCTTCTCTGCCTCGATTTAGGATCCCAAATATGCGTTGGACACCATCAACATTTACTTTGCAATATCCATTTTTGAATTTGAACATTCTCTTTTCAGTGTCATACTAGTTCACTATATATATGACATCCCAGTCTGATTTCTACATTTGTAATTCACCTTTTAGGTAACCTTTCACCAGTCTGCCAAAAGGTGACTTATATATGAATGCCAAGACTTCTGGTTTTTCTTCAAGTTTTGGTTTGAGCTCTTGTATTAGTTCTGCCAATGCCAAAAGATTCAGTCTTATTTGAGCATAGTTCTCGTATGTTGCCCGATGCTTTACGACATGAGATTTTAGAGATGATTTTTTTTTTTTGCAAAATATTTTACTTTTCTCGTCATCTTAATAAATAAAAAATGAAATGTTCATGAGTATAATAAATTATCAAATGATAAGAAATCATAAAAATGACAAACTAGATGCAAAGGGCAGATGCTTAGCACACGAGCTATATGCAGCATCACTTAGCAAACAAGTAGATGCAGTATCACTTAGCAAACAAGGTAGATGTAGAATTGGCGATTAACACACAATGTAGATGCATAATTGTGCAGAACCAATTTACAAAATAGAAAGTAGAACTAGAATTAATTTACAAAGTGTAGCATCAATTCAAAGTGTTGTAGCATCAATTCAAAGTGTAGCATCAATTCAAAGTGCAACATCGAAGCTAGATGGTTCAAAATTTAGACGCATACTCATTTTCCTTTTCAGATGTTTAAGAATTAATTTACAAACAGAAAGTAGAACAAGAATTAATTTACAAAGTGCAACATCGAAGCTAGATGGTTAATGTTTTTACTCACAAAATTTAGAGGCATATTCATTTTCTTTTTCAGATGTTTAAGAATCAATTTACAAACAGAAAGTAGAACTAGAATTAATTTACAAAAAGCAACATCAATTCAAAGTGTAGCATCGAAGCTAGACGGTTACTTTTTTTACTCACAAAATTTAGAAGCATATTCATTTTCTTTTTCAGATGTTTAAGAATCAGTATACATATAAACTAAAAAGCCAAAACTGAAACATCTAAAACACTAAAAAAAAAAATTTCACGAACTTGAACACTAAATTTTTTGTAAAATCAAGTGCAAAAAACACTTGATAATGCATGCGTTTTTTTACAGTTTTCTTTTGCAAAAACACTTGACAATGCATCCAAAACTTTGATAATGCATTCGTTTATGACAGAGTTTGAATTATAATCATGCAAAAGGATGATTTTGAGTAATAGTAAAACCTTTGAAACACTAATCTTTTTGGAAATCCGTCTGAACTTTGTGAATCACTTATTGAAAATCCGGCTGAAAGTGTAGGAAACTATGGAGATTTTAGGGTTTTTTGTCTAGGGAAGTATCTTTTGCATGAGAGGGAATTTGAAATGATAGGTTTGGGGAAGAGGAACGCGAGTATTTAATAAGGGAAAAGGGGAAGGAACTGGTTAGTTTTTATGATTTTTGTCGTGTAGTGGTTAACGTGGTTGTTTATTAATGGTTATAGTCTAATGGTATGGGCCGTAATTTTAGTCAATCCGTTTCTTTCTGGATTGGGCTTGGTTTTTTGTTATTGGATTTTTTTGTCCCTCTTTGTAATGTTTTAAAAGGTGTGGAGTTGTGTGAATATATATTTGTGTCTCTATAAATAAGGCTCCCTATTTTCTATACAACACTGTGCATTCGTTTTATGTTTGTATTATGAAGTTTCTATGATAATTACTTACAGATGGTAGTGCTTTGGTCATTTCATGATATCTTCATTTTTATGATGCATGGGGCTTAACCCCAATGCCAAAAATTTGTTGGAATCATTTGTGTTACTATAAATTACCTTCATTGATAACAATACAAAATATTGTCTGCAAACTATTATTTCAATTACTGGTAAAGATTAAAATACGAAAATGCATGCTAAGTGTACCTATAACGGCGTTTAACTGTTAGAGAAAGAAAATTATGACAAATTTTTCTTTTTTAATTTTCAAGTTGTTATAAAATATAGATAGGTAAAAAAGAGGGTAAATAGGTAAAAAGGGGTAAAGGGGTTAAAAAACGGATAAACGGGTAAATGGTTACAATTAAATTGATACGCAGTTATGAGTATAGTTAACCATTTATAAATGGTTATGAGTATGGATATAACCGTTTAGGTAATTACCCAATGTGTAAACGGTTATGCAGTAAGAGCTTAAACGGTTATGGGTAAATAATTGCGGTCACCAGCCCTCCATAACCGTTGCCTATCCCTAGTCATGTGTGAAATGGAGAGAGAAAGTCTTTCTTTCTTGTTAGAGCCAATGTCCAAGAACAACAGAGTCATTGGTGATCTTCTATGTGTTCCTCTTTGTTTGAAATTAGATATTTTTTCTTGGTTCAAAGTTTTTGCATAGAACATAGGCACAACAATGGTGATTTTCTCTCTTCCACCACCTACCCAGACCGTTGTGTAGTCCTCTGAGGTCCTCATAGGCCCTTCTTCGGACTTTTGGGTAGTCCTGAGACCACCTAAATTCATGAAATGATGCCTCCTAGTTGTGGGTCTCACACTACATCGAACTTCATCAATCTGAACCGTCTATTTTTTAAGTTGAACCTCATACATCATCCTTGCAAAATATTAGCCAATTTGGGAATATTTGAGGTATCTAATTGAATTTAAAGAAATTGACAAATATTATGTTTCAAGAAACATTGAAATTTATCATGATGAATAAATAAGGAAATGGTTTTGGATTGAATTGAATTTTTGCAATCATGATCTCTGAATCGAGACTTACAAAATAGACGGTTCAAATAGTTGAAATTTGATGTGGAGTGAGTCCCACGACTAATCCCTATTTTTTTTTCGAAAAAATAGAGATCCCTCCTCTTAAAGGGCTGTGTATCTGCAACCATGGTCTAAAATATCCATAATATCCTAATATTTCCATCGAACTTTCCATGTTTTTGGACAACCGATATTTTTTTGGACTACCGATATTTCCGATATCATCGATATTTTAGACCTTGCTAAGTCACTCATGTATCTTACCATGCAATGTATAAAGTGTAAAATATTGTACTAATTCATTATATATAAATGATTATGGTGTGTTAAAACTTCTTTTATTAATTACTACATATTTTCTACACTCACAATGTTTGCCAACTCGCTATATAATCAACTTAAATCAGTTATATCTATCATGCAATGCATTTCCTTCCAATTTTTTGTGATAAACTAATAGATAATTGACTAAATAAATATCCTGCAAATTTTCAATAAAAATTTCCAAGTTTTTCTTACAATTTCCGTGGTATTTATTCAATTTTTATCAATATCGATAATATCCCGATATTTCCATTGAAATTTATGTGTTTTTGGACTACCGATATTTCTGATATCATAGATATTTAATACCTTGTCTACAACCAATTCTCATGATTTAATTAAAGAGTGGGTTACAATGTAGTTACGACCCTACCAACCGATTCAATTAGATGTAAACCCATCCCACTATATATTTTTGTATACCTGAATAACAAACGGTTAGGATTAGTATGTGCAATTTTTCTTCAATAATCCAGACTACTCAATTGTGCAAAAAATGAATGGTCATGATTGAATTGACGAAATATTATTCAATCGAATGGATATAAAACTGGATTACCAAGTAGTCAGGACTATTATAGACTTTACGCTAGTATGTGACAACTTCTTTTCAAATGATTACAACCCGAAGAAGGAACTCCTCTCATTCTCTCATCATTAAGACCATCTCTAACCGAAAGGGCTATGTTTAGCCCTTGTTCAGATTATAGCCCTACAAGAAATTATTTTGTAAGTCAGACCATATTTATATACCATATCCAACCGAATGAGGCTATTTTTTAGCCTCCTCAATAATTTATTATTTTAAGTTTGTTCTTTGGCTTTATTGGTTAATTGAATTAAACAACTATATTAAAATAAGGTTTCCTGACATATTTTGAATGCTACTTGAAAATTATTGAAAAAGTTAAAGGAATGATTATTGGAAGAGGTAAGAGAGGGGTGTGTATGAAAAGAGTTTCTGAGGTGAATAGAATTTGAAGAATTGACTAAAATGAGATAAGATAGTATGGAATGGTGAAAATGATGTGAGAAATGGTGTAAGAATGTCTTAGGTATTTACAGGAAAAAAAAATTAGAATTTTTAATTTTTTTAAAATTTCTTCTTAAAAATAAAAAAAATAAAAAAATACAGCTCGGCCCAATTGAACGGGCTGGCTAAGGATAGCCAACCTGCTGGCCATATGGTTAGATTTTGGCCCTGTGGGTCCTAAGATTTTTTGGCTCAGACCTCCATCGAATATGAGTTTTGTGTAAATAAAAAAAAAAATAAATAAATAAAAACTATCATTTAGCCTATGACCCTATAGCCGGTCCAGTTGAATATGGCCTAAAGTCTTCTGAGACAAGGTGTGCTAATCACTTTGGTCGTTTCCTTGCAAGTCGATTCATTTTATGAATATTTTGAAAGGAAAACTAATGAAAAAGACTTGAAAATTTTAAATTTTAACGATAATGACACAATAAAGAATAAAGTAAATAGTATCAAAATTGATTTTTTAGTATAAAAATGTGATTTATCATTAAGTGAACAGTGCCGTGACTTTTCGTTAAAATAGCATGAGTTGTTGCATGGAACTGAATACAATCGTCCTAACTCTACGCTTTTGGAATTGACATGTTAGATGAACCAATTCTCTTGTAATTTGCAAAGCTTTCGCCACCTTCTGAAAACATGCATTGCCGACAGAGACCTCTTTACAGGCAAAGCCCTCCACGCACTCTACATCAAGTCCCTCCTTCCTCCTTCCACTTACCTTTCCAACCACTTCATCCTCCTTTACTCCAAATGCGGCCGTCTCTCCGCCGCTCGCAGCGCCTTCAACCACACCCAGGACCCCAATGTCTTCTCCTTCAACGCTATCATTAATGCATACGCTAAAGAGTCGCACACCCACATTGCACACCAACTGTTTGATAAAATTCCTATACCGGACTTGGTCTCTTATAACACTCTCATTTCTGCTTATGCCGATAGGGGGGAGACTGAGCCGGCGTTGAGCTTGTTCGCTGGGATGAGAAGAATGGGTCTCGACATGGATGGGTTTACCATCTCTGCTGTGATCACGGGTTGTGGTGATGATGTCAGTTTGCTTAGGCAATTGCATTGTGTGGTGGTGTCGGGTGGCTTTGATTCATATGTTTCGGTGAACAATTCGCTTGTAACTTACTATAGTAAAAATGGGTTTCTGGAGGAGGCAAAACGGGTGTTCTTGGTGACGGGAGAGGTGAGAGATGAAGTGTCTTGGAATTCGATGATTGTGGCGTACGGCCAGCACCGCCAAGGGTTGAAAGCGCTGGGGTTGTTTCAGGAAATGGTAAGGAGGGGCTTCGATGTCGACATGTTTACATTGGCAAGTGTTTTGACTGCATTTACGTGTGTGGAAGACTTGTTGGGTGGACTTCAGTTTCATGCTAAGTTGATCAAAACTGGTTTCCACCAGAATTCCCATGTTGGGAGTGGCTTAATTGATTTATATTCGAAGTGTGCTGGTGGCATGGCAGAATGTAGGAAAGTGTTTCAAGAGATCCCTCTTCCAGATTTGGTTCTTTGGAACACGATGGTTTCTGGGTATTCTCAAAATGCTGAGTTCTCTGAAGACGCTCTTCATTGTTTCCGGAAAATGCAACGTGTTGGTCACAGCCCTGATGATTGCAGCTTCGTCTGTGTGATCAGTGCATGCTCTAATTTGTCATCCCCCTCTCAGGGAAAGCAGATTCATGCCTTAGAAATTAAATCTGATATCCCTTCAAATAAAATTTCGGTGAATAATGCTCTTGTTGCAATGTACTCGAAATGCGGAAATCTTCATGATGCAAGAAGGTTATTTGATAGAATGCCAGAGCATAACACTGTCTCTTTAAATTCAATGATTGCAGGTTATGCACAGCATGGGATTGGAATAGAATCGCTATGGCTTTTTGAACATATGCTTCAGATGGATATTGTTCCTACACGAGTAACCTTTATCTCTGTCCTTTCTGCTTGTGCTCACACTGGAAAAGTAGAGGAGGGTCAGAAGTATTTCGATATGATGAAGGAGAAGTTTGGGATTGAACCAGAAGCAGAACACTATTCATGCATGATTGATCTTTTAGGTCGAGCAGGCAAACTGGGTGAAGCTGAGAGACTCATCGAGACGATGCCATTCTGCCCTGGCTCCATTGGCTGGGCTACATTACTTGGTGCCTGTAGAACGCATGGAAATATTGAACTAGCAGTAAAGGCATCCAATCAGCTTCTTCAGCTGGAACCTCTAAATGCTGCTCCATACGTGGTGCTGTCTAATATGTTTGCTAGAGCAGGCAAATGGGAAGAGGTATCAACAGTTAGAAAGCATATGCGAGATAGAGGAGTGAAGAAGAAACCAGGTTGTAGTTGGATCGAGGTGAATAAGAGGGTACACGTTTTTGTGGCTGAAGAGATTTCCCACCCGATGATCAAAGAAATTCATGAATACTTGGGGGAGATGTCGAGGAAGATGAAGCAAGCGGGGTATGTGCCTGATTTAAGATGGACCTTGGTAAAGGACGATGAATCGGTGCAAGGAGAGAGGGAGATTAGGTTAGGGCATCACAGTGAAAAGCTAGCGGTTGCATTTGGGTTGCTCTCGACGAGAGAGGGAGAGCCTTTGCTTGTGGTGAAGAACCTGAGGATTTGTGGGGACTGCCACAATGCAATCAAGTTTATCTCTGCCATTGCTGGGAGAGAAATCACTGTGAGAGATGCCCACAGGTTTCATTGCTTTAAGGACGGACATTGCTCTTGTGGGGATTATTGGTGACAATGTGTGAACTCCAGTTCTCTTGCTCCAGAAGGTGAAGTTCCGGCTTCTGCAAACACGATGCCATTGAATTTTCTTACAAAGCGACTTAGCGTATCAATAGAGGATGATTCTTGGTCCTGATTTCCGTGTAACAAGCCAGATTTTATTCGCTACCACCACATTGTATTTGTCATTACAGTCACTTTCTTATACAGCTATAGAACAAAATTGCTGGTGGAAAGGTGGAGCTGAAAGATTTGGAGAACGAAATAAAGCACGGTACGGAAATCAATCACCCTATGCGTTCAGTCAACTATGTCAATCAATAGTGACTGTATCCTTCACAACAAAAGTTGATGTCCTTAACGACGTGTCTTATAAAAATAAAAAATAAAAATTAACCCAGTACAGGGGTTGTTTTTATACGACAGCAAAAACAAATTTTCCCTTTATCCGCCAATGTTGCATACCAAAACTTACGAATAAATGATGCTATGATATGTATTAGTGGTATGAGTTAAGGTGAAACACTTGGCAGCTTGGCTGGTACGATTCCTTTGATGTGGCCTGCTCGAACTTCTTGGTGGCAGCTTCGTTTTCTTCTAAGCTGGTCTGGACAAAATAGCGTATCCACCAAGAGGAGCTCCGCATTTTGGCCTAAAAGAAAAACAAAGATATATTGGTCATAAGGTCAATCGGGCAATAAAATGTCACCACTAAACAACCCAAAACAGAACACAACTTATGTACGTGGAACAATTATTAAAGCTCGTTGTAATAACTCAAAACCCAAAGTGATCATGAATGCTCTCTCTCCAACATCTCCTTTAATTATTTCAAGTTAGAAAGTAGGATCAGGTCACTGCTTCATCTATCCGCTTCATTTACCAAAAAATAACCATGCGCTTCGATAGGATCATGTGTAAAATTTTAAACTCAAGCACATAATGAGTAATGACCATCCAATACAAACGGTGAGTGACAACATCCTATAGAATACTAGTCCAACAGTTATAAAGTAGCATGGTGACATTATACAGGCAGCATATGATCACTTACTGGACGTCCGAATTTGGATAGCTCAGAAACCTTTGCTTTCTGTTGTCCAGGGAAACCTAAACATGAAAGTAAATGGCAATGAAACTAGAAATTATTATTACCAAAAGTAAAAGATCAACAAATGTTTATTAGTGTCTACGGGAATATAAAAGTAAAAAAGTTAAAGAACATTGAGTCAACAGTAAATCATTATGGTCAGAAACACTTTGGTGTCAGTGTATTTCTGATCCAGTATCTTTACTAGAATCTAAAGACAAGGGATGTAGAAAAGTTAATATGTTGACTGGGGGTGTTCATGTGTCTCCAAGAGTACAACTGCTAAATATCTCTAAATTCGTTGTGAGTCGATGCACCAACCAAAACAGGAATACTAGATGGGACCAAATGAATGTGAATCTTTTGACTGAAATGAAATTTATTACGTGAAAATCTAATCAGTTATGAACATAAATTCCTACTACCAAACTATATTAAGCTTTTATAACGTTAACACAGAACAGGCAATATGAACTATAAAGGTAAGTACCTGCAAAAATAACAAGACCATCAGAAGACACCCTTGCCAATTCTGGAAGAGTCCTGTTCAGATATTTTGGAGAAAGGTAATCTAAAGCATCTGACACAATCACAAGAGAAAAAGACTTTGCTTTATAAGGTAGAGGGAACTTTATATCGGCCACCCTCACAATGCCTTTGTGCACAAGACTCCTGCAAGTCCTATCAGCATCCTCTATCTCATATGGTTCCACACCCCATGCTTCTATTTCCTCATCTTTCAACAATGCGGATACAACTGAACAAGTATCCGGGCCAATATGCAAAACTTTGTGCATGCTGCCACTATACGCTTTCTTTAGGAAAGGTATTGCTCTATGAACTTCTAGCGTGCATGATAAGTCACCTGATTATAGAAGCAAATGGCAAAATGCTATTATTACAAGTATGTGAGAGGTAATTGCCAAACACTTGTAAAAAAATACAAAAATCATCAAACAAAAGAAGCGCATTTCACGCCAACAAATAAAGTCCAACGTCAGAAGTGATAAAATGTACAACACAACGTGAAAAGACAAGCAGAAAAGGTCCCAAACTCACCTTCAATCCTACTAACTATGTTGGCACCCCCGCGGACACCTGAATTTTAAGAACAAACATTTCAATCAGCACATTCATATGTAAGTATCAAAATCTTAAAATAGAAGCAATTAAATTCCGAGAATCAACGACCTCTATATACTGATTGCAGAGCTAGCAGATCAAAATGAACAAATTCACATCATTAAATGTAAATGGGGTAGTTAATAACTTAATACATTCAATATAACACAAACCTGAACCCTTGTAAACATAGCCGATAAGAAGAATGGCTCCCTGAAAATTCAACCAAAACCCAACAAAAAAACAAAATTACAAAGCGAAAATCGTAATCATTCGCATTCTTCATCATAATTTAAACATGATTTTCTGAACAATGTAGGAGCTACCCACTGAACAGAAACTTAATTACAATGAATTCGCATACAAGGAAATCGAAAAATCGAATCGATAAAAAATAAAAATAAAAATAAAAAAAGTTACCACGACTACAAGGCCAATGGATAACAAAGGCGACGACTTCGATTTAGAATTGAAGGCTCCGGAAAACGGAAAGCTCCCATTGCGGCGCGTGGATCCCACCGCCCTCCTCGACATGAATGCTGCTTCTTTAAAAGGAAACGAATCCGAAAATTACTGCATAAAGACAACATTAATTAAACATTGTAGATTAGATCCATGTCCACTATTATGAACGTGAATCGAAGCTCGAATTCGTTTAGGTTCTTGTCAAATTTTCCCGCGAAACAAACAGAAGGTCGTATTTTACAAATAATGGAGAAATTGAATTGGGTTTTGGAGGTACCTCAGATTCAGATCGACGAACGAGAGCAGCACACTGGGGATTTGATCAGCGGCAATGGCTTTGGATCTTAGATCTGCGGATTCTTTTTCTTTCGGAAAACAAAATTGTTTTGCTTTTAGCTGGAGAGAGAGAGAGGGAGAGAGAGAGAGAGTGGGAAGTGAGTGGGAATGTATCTAAATTTTGTATGGCTGTACGGCACGCGGCATTGGCATCGTGTGTCGGCGGGGATCATGTTTCCGTGCCTGCAAATGGTTAAGGACACTTTTGACCTTTTATTCTACATATGGATTTGTTTACATTATAATTTGAGCGATATTTTAATTTAATATAATTATGAAATGAAGAATTTTGACTTAGGTGTAGCATTCACGGATGAAGGCGTAATTTAAATTTAGTCCCAATTGTCAATAAACTCATGCGTAGGAGGATGGGATTAATGGGGTGTAAAGGAATTCAGATTATACTGCCTACATATTCCCAAGATTAGAGAATCAAATCCTTGACGACTAGCCTATTACGATACGTGTAGAAAAATGCTTCTCCATGTCTATGCGTATACGAACGACGTGTATGAGAGAATATGAGACGTGTATGAGAGAATATGAGACAATCCTTGGTAAAGAGTATTGGATCATAAGATACTTTTTGGATAATTAAATACACACAAAGATAAATTAGGGTATTTATAGAAATCTTGAGATAGAGCAATTCCAAGTCAAGCGATAGACTATATAAGAGGGAAGTTACGATAAGATATTCAACCCTATTAGGATTATGATTACGTTGCTTAATCTCTAAGTAATCCTAATTTGACTTGAATTAGACTTTCTTACTTGGGAGACAAGTAATATTCTTTAATGGGCTTCAAGCTAATGAAGTCATCCCAGACTACCATGACCTGTATAAGTCCAATCTGGAATACCTATATAGCTCTGATCTCACTTTGAAGGCTTTCCGGTCATTCTAACCACCCTGGTCAACATTTTGGGTGAACCAAAATTCACTCCTTTTCTACGATACCAGCCTTTGAACGTGAAACCTTTAGGATCAATGGTAAGGAAAATTACCACAAGACCGGAAGAAGACTGGTATACTTTGGGGTAAATGACAACATTTCAAAACCATGCTTGACTTAACCACATTATATATATGTATATGTCAACAAATGTGAATAGTTTTTTGTGATCTTATGTTTGCAAAACTTACAAATGCTTCAAAACCATGAAACTAATGGATCCCAAAAGAAAATGGGATACAAAAATGATGTTCAAAAACCGAGAACAATGTTGACATATAAACCTACTTGCAGATCATTTGGAGTTGAAGTTTGTTTTTAATTAAATTCTAGATGATGCAATGTGAGTCATTGGATCATAGTCCATGTGCATCACTTAGATTTTGTCTTAGTAAGTATAGCTCATGCCATGAGTAAGCATCTCATAGGGTGACTTATTTGGATGGTTGGGTTTGTTTGCTGTTGATGTAAGGTAGAGAATGCTCTCACTTTTTAAAGGTATCATTTGCTCATACACTTCGTGTGAAAAATCAATGAATCATCATATTCTATGAATTTTCCGTGCACACGGTCTCAAACTAGATCTTACCTAGAATTTCCAATGAAAACACCTTGAAGGGATCTTGGGATATTTTGCAATAAGAATTCAAAGGAGACAAACAAGTTAGAAGTGTAAAATTGCAAGTTTGTAGTTTCTTTGAAGGGGTTTAAGCAAAAGTTTGATGGGCATGCTAAGAACTCCATTGAAAAGACATATTTTAGACTAAATGTAACTTACAAGCATCTCAAATCCAGTGGGCCTTCTAGAAATCAAACAATTCAGAAGAACTAGAAGAACAAGGGAAATAAGTGGGATAATAAGTCTAACTTTGTTTACAAGCAAACTGATACTCAAGACAAAACTAAGTTTGCATTATGGAAAATGTGGTTTGAATGAAAACCCAAATGCATAAATTATGGGAAGTTTGGTCATATGCCTAGAGATTGCAATTGGAAAAAAAGGAATACAGAAGTTGAACCACGCCAATCAACTTGAGAATACTGGAACACTTTTCTATGTCTGCAATGCTATGATTGAGATAAAAGTGAACATCTACTGGTACATTGACATTGGGTGTAGCAACCATATGACAAAAGATGAAGTTTGTTGATCAATGTGAAGAGAAATCTCACTTCCAAGGTGAAAATGGGAACTGGAGATATTGTAAAAGTTGCTAGAAGAGGCACTCTACTGATTGAAACCAAACTCCTCAAAAAAAACACATTCAAGAAGTGATGTTTGTTCCTAGATTAGAAGAAAATCTACTCATTGTTGGTCAGATGATGAAGCATGGCTACTATTTGTTGTTTGGAGGAAATGTAGTGAACGCTTTTATGGGTGCTAATAGATAATATTGTGGTTAGAGTAAAAATGAGTGGAAATATATGCTTTCCTCTAAAAATGATGCCTGTAATGCAAATGGTATTGAGAGCTAGTATAACGCATTGCTTTTAAACTTGGCACAGATAATTAGTTCACTTAAATGATACAAGTCTCAGATTGCTTCAGAAGCAAGAAATAGTTCATGGATTGCTACAATTGGAGGACTAAAAGGGTGTGTGAAGGGTGCATGCTTGGTAAGCAACACAGAAACACATTCCCAGCTGAATCCACATAGAGAGCTAAGTTCCCTCTAAAATTGGTTCACACAGACATCTGTGGACCAATGCAAATTGAATCAAATTATGAGAATAAATACATCTTGATGTGAAGATGACGACCCAAGAATGACATGTCTATTTCACGAGACACAAGTCAAATGTCTTTGAGTGCTTCAAGAATTTCAAAGCAATGACAAAATTGCAATGTAGCTACAAAGTGAAGTGCCTCAGAAGTGATAGAGCTAGACAGTTCATGTCAACTGATTTTATAAGGTTCTACAATGAAATAGGAATTCAAAGGAAATTGACAATAAGATATACACCAAAGCAAAATGGTGTTGTTGAAAGGAAAAACAAAATTGTTGTGGAAATGGCAAAGCCAATGCTGCATTGGAAAAATTTGCCATACCAGTTTTGGGCAAAAGCTATAAACACAATAGTATATCTTCTCAATAGGTGTCTCACTAAGGCACTTGACAAGATGACTTCTTTTGAAGCTTGTAGTGGAAGAAAACCAAAAATTAGCCATCTCAAAATCTTTGGTTCTTTGTGCTATGTTAATGTTCCGTCAAACTTGACACATACTTGAAAGCAATAGCTACAAATGCATAGTTGTAGGCTATGACACAAGTGAGAGACTACAGATTATAGAATCCAGTCACTAAGAAGATTATTCAATCAAGAGATACACCATAAATTATTACTTGGATTGGAATCATGAGAATGAAAAAAAATGTCAATGTTCCAATGATTGGTGAAATTGAAAGAGAAAGAGGTACATAAGTTGAAGAATCTTAGAAACTACATAATCTCTAGACACATTGTTGACTACACCACAGACATGTCAACAAAGTGGCTCTATTCCATTTGTTACTGGTTCTATCTCACAAACCAAATCAAGGATCTCTCATACCTATGATCACACTCCATTGAAGTGGAGGAGTTTGAGTGATGTGCTAGCTTAGTGAAATGTGTGCATTGTGGAACCTGAGAACTATGAAGAAGCAGCACAAGATGACTCTTGGAAAAAAGCTATGCAGTATGACATACAAATGATTGAGAAGAATCACACATAGAAGCTAGTTGATAGACCATCTGATAAGCCTATCATTAATGTCAAATGGGGCTACAAGACAAAGCTTAACTTGGATGGATCAATACATAAGAACAAGCTAGATTGGTGCAAAAGGCTATTCTTAGAAGCTACTATCTCAAAAAGTCCAAAAAGAAAATCATCTTATTTTTCTTCAAGCTCTTCACTGAATCAACAAAACAACATACAAACACTACCAAATAAGTGGTCTATAGCTACTATTGTAATGCTCCCATTTTTAGTACTAACCAGATGCTACCATTTCTGGTTGGTGTACTTGTGTTTTATTTATTTATTTATTTATTTTTATTTTTTTATTATCAAAAACAACAAATTTTCGTTCAAAATCCAGAGGCTAATCCAATACATTAGAGAGAAGACTCCCCTAAAATCTCAAATAGTATCAAGAGGTTCCTCGAATCTACTACAAACACCATTGTTAACGACAGCTACTCTTACCATGCGATGAGCAACTTTATTTGTTTGGTGGCGTACATGGGACAAAGAAGCTCCAGTGATCGAACACATGAGGGTGTTCAATTTATTTGGTCATAAACTAAGGATTTTGATCCCATGCGGATCCAAATTGTGGGGATCCTAGGGATCTTCATATCTTAGCCATTCATCGTGTATCATGCGGTCATAAATTATTTGATTTTTTTATTTAGAATTAAATACAAATAGTAATTGAAGAAAACTGACCGCACGATGTACGATGAACGGTTAGGATGTAAATCCCCACAAAGTGGATCCGGAGAGAATCCCCTACCATAAACAAATTCATTGCTTACGAAAATAATGATTCTCCCCATGTTAGGCAAATAGAATAATCAACAAGAGATATGTACTTAGTTTAATCATGTCAAATTGATCGATTAAACTTGATCAATGCTTTCAAATTTCTTTTCCCTAATCCCTGGCAATCAAGATTTTATAGTTTACACGCATATATATAATTTAAATTTGTAAGCTAATTTGAGCATAAACGTTCATTCTATAACCGGTTAATAATTTATCAGAAAATGATCCTGAAATGGAACATAGAAAAAATTCCACTGTAATAATTATGTTTGAGTTTGACTTATAATGTAAATCATCATCTTTGTTGTGATATTAGATCAAGCTTATGGATTATGAAATTGAGAAATTTTAAAGTGTACTCCGAACATATTAACAAAGAATTTTTTTTTTTTTTTTTAAAACGATAGTTTAATTTGTTAAATATTAGAGAAAAATAGATGGTGGGGATCGAACCCACACTAGAGTCTCCATAAATATTATTACTTTCTGTTACTATTTTCATAAGCACCAGGTGCATATGCATTAAATAGAAAGAACAATAAGTTGCATGTGAGAAAAAGTGTGAGAATATTTAAAAACTTGTAAAAATATTAATTTTCTGTTGTAAACTATTTTATTAATTATTTGTTGTAACCTATTTTACAGAAGGGAGAGAGAGGGTGTGGCGGGCAGAGAAAAAAGGTTGAGGAATTTTTGTGGTACTTGCTTCCATCATCTTTGCCTTTATTTATAGTGAATTGGATAAAAAAATTTGCCCTACAAGTAACACACTCATAAATGGATGACATCTTCGTGTATCCTAAATACAATTTACTAATAATTTTACACAATCAAACATGTGCTATAATTAATACTACAACATTTTTGAAATGTTTGAGATTACTCTGATTCTAAACATTACAAACTTTAGAATAAATATTAGCAACTTTGTTTCCAAGATTACTAATATATATATAACTCCACTATACGTTTGTCGATAATAAATATATTTATATTTTTTATTACAGATGTACAAGATTGTTGATTTTTTAGTTTCAGTGATGAGTTTTTTTTTGCTCGAATTTCAGGGGTGAGTTTGTTAAAGGAAGTCTCACTAATATAGGCATGAGGATGATAAATATTTATCGTGAAATCGATAATAATTTACCTGTTGGCCCATTATTATCGTGCATGTTAATTTGTTGTGGCAAAAATATTTTATATATTTTCCATTAAAAAACACAAGAGAAATCAGGCTACACAATAATTAAAATAAAAAAATGCCTATTAAAAACAAAACGCCCATAAAAATGTGCCAATTAATTACATCATCACTTAAACTATATTGCTCCTAATCCAAATACTAATAGTTGGTCTTTGAATTTTTCTTGTTAGTGAAACAATTTACCTAATAAATGTTTTATCCATTTTGGATTAAATTTATTTTATTTGGATTCAATATCCTTTATCCTATCATTCTGTCAAATTTATTTTAACTACAGCTTAATCCGCTCATGTATATAAATTTAGCATGTGGATAAGACCAAAATTTTGACCTTTGTCAATTTAAAAATAAATAAATAAATAAATCCTCAACCAGCTTAAGTAGTTAAATTAGATACAAAGAAGAAGAGTCAAACTGAAAGTCCTACCCAGTTACAATTTCAAATTTTTAAGTAGCAAAACCTTCAAAGAAGTTATATTGGCTACAGATACAGAGATCAATTAAACTCAAACTCAAACTCTAATCAAATCCTTTTATCTTTATTCTCCTTATCTAATTTAACAACTTAGGGTTTTGTAAGTCTGCGGAGGGTTATAAATATTACCTCTCATCCACCATTCTTTCACGTTGTTGTATATCTCTGAGTTTTCTCTTCTTGTTTTCGTTATTTCCGGTTAGCTTTTGCTTTTTAAGTCAGTTTTGAGTAGATAGTAAAGGGTAAGCAGGCTAAAATGGCTGGAGACGGTATAGCTACGACAACGAAAGGTGGAAAAGAATACCCCGGCAAACTCACTGGTAGGGTTCTTCTCACATGTATGGTGGCAGCTACCGGTGGTTTGATTTTTGGCTACGATCTTGGAGTCTCAGGTACATATATAACATGTTTTATGTTTATGAATCCTTAAACTTCCAGATTATATATCACGCCATTGTTATATAATATGAGCTGTTGGTTTTAAGTTTATGCAGCAACGTTTAGCGTCCTGTTATCAACGTTTTGAATTATCATATCGGAATATATTTTTTCTTCAGCTTCAATCATAAAAGATACCAACAATGCACTATACGAGAAAAACTTTTTAAACAAATTAAACACAATCAACCGAAATCACAGATAGTTTAAAAAAGTTCAGAACTGCAGGCCCTGAATTGTTCAATTGGAAAAGTAGCCGACTGTACCTATATATCCACACTCAAACTTGTTCACATATAGTTTTGATTTTGTGTTCGTATAAATTAATTAAAGTATCTGACATTGATTATTATGCAGGTGGTGTGACATCGATGGATTCATTCCTGAAAAAGTTTTTTCCAGCGGTTTATAGCAAAGAATCCTCGGTCAAGCCTTCCGACAATCAGTACTGCAAGTTTGACAGCCAGATGCTGACGCTCTTCACATCGTCACTGTATGTAGCTGCTCTGGTTTCATGTGTTTGTGCATCAACTATAACCAGAAAGTTTGGTAGGAGACGTACAATGTTTTTGGGTGGAGTTCTCTTCTTGATTGGTGCACTCCTCAATGCCGGCGCTCAATACCTTTGGATGCTTGTTGTCGGTCGAATACTCCTCGGTTTTGGCATTGGATGTGCCAATCAGGTACATTATGAATTATGCTTTAATTTTTTTCTTTCTAAGTTTAGTATGATCGAGTTCCTTAATGTGGTCTAAATTCAATGTTTTTTTTAATGTTACTTAATTTTATCTTAAGTTTTATTTAACTGTTTCAATTTTTGTGTGCAGTCTGTGCCGATCTATGTCTCTGAGGTAGCCCCATACAAATACCGTGGTGCTTTAAACATGATGTTCCAATTGTCAATCACTATTGGAATACTTGCTGCGGGTGTCATAAACTATTTCTTTTCTGAGATCAAAGGAGGTTGGGGATGGCGTTTGAGTTTGGGCGGTGCTGCAGTCCCTGCAATTATGATCATGATCGGCGCATTAGTTTTACCGGAAACTCCAAACTCTTTGGTTGAGCGTGGTAAGAATGAGGAAGCCAAAACTCAGCTCCTCAGAATCAGAGGCGTTGACAATGTTGACGAGGAGTTTGATGACCTAGTTGCGGCCAGTGGTGCATCCAAGTTGGTAAAAAACCCCTGGAGAACCTTGTTGACCAAGAAATACAGACCTCAGCTTGTCTTTGCACTTGCAATTCCTGCCTTTCAGCAACTCACCGGAATGAATGTGATCACATTTTATGCCCCCGTCTTGTTCAAAACAATGGGATTTGGAGGTAGCGCTTCTCTCATGTCCACTGTGATTACCAACGCTGTTAATGCCCTAGCCACCCTTGTTTCAATTTTCACTGTCGATAAGGTTGGAAGGAGGGCCCTTTTCATTGAGGGTGGTGCTCAAATGTTCATCACTCAGGTTAGTTCCTTTTCTCTATGTTGTTCATATTTTTTCTTTTCCACATACAAAATAATTTAGCTGTGTTCTATTCTTTTTCTGGCATTAATAGGTGATTATTGGAATTGTAATTGCTCTTAAATTTGGGATTAGTGGCAACCCTGGTGTATTGTCTAAGGGGTTTGCTGATGGCTTGGTGGCCTGCATCTGTATATATGTTGCTGGATTTGCTTGGTCTTGGGGACCTCTAGGATGGTTGGTGCCAAGTGAAATCTTCCCCCTTGAAGTAAGGTCAGCTGCTCAATCCATCAATGTCGCTACCAACATGATCTTCACCTTCGCCATAGCTCAAGTTTTCACCACAATGCTTTGCCACTTGAAGTTCGGGTTGTTCTTCTTCTTTGCGTTCTGGGTTGTGATCATGAATGTTTTCATTTACACGCTTTTGCCAGAAACAAAAGGTGTTCCGATTGAAGAAATGCACACTATTTGGCAAAAGCACTCCTTTTGGAAAAAGTATGTCATTGAAGAAGAAGGTATTGCCATGGTCAAGGGAGGACATAACGTCTAGACCTTTGCTCGGCTTTATTGTAGGATTTATTTTTAAATTTTTGTTTAGTATGAGGTTTAATTTCAGTTTGGAACATTTTGTTGGATATTTATTGGGTTTATTTTCTGTAATTTTTTTTCTAGTGAAATAATATTGGTTATTTATTAGAGAAGTTTATTTGTTTATTGGTTCAAATGGTCGCATGCCATTGATGACCAATGGCCGAACATTATGAGGCCTACGCAATTCTCTTTGTAAAACAATCACAGAGTATGTGCAAATATTGTTTCTCTGTTTGATTAATAAGTGGTTAAAATTTTGATTAATATCATTGGTTAAAATATTGGGTTTAGTTGGTTTTCACTGGATTGACCACAAACTGATCCTTTTAACTGTTCATCTAAGTTCAATATGTTAAGCTCTAAATTCATTCTGTTAAGCTTATGAGTATAATGATTGCACGCAAAGTGACATGTTCTATTAACGGATTAACCATTTCACCAATTAAAAACAATTTGTCAATTTATTTAAAACGTTCAACTAGCAAAGATGTTAGTGAGTGATGGGCACGATGAGCTTCGCATTCAAAAACAACGAACTGAGAGGGTCGTGGAGGGAGGTGAGGGATCATGTAGTCGTTGAAGGTAAGTCGAAGGAGGGATCGGGGTTTTCATTTTGACGAAATTACAAAATCACCTTTGTTAACGGATATATAACGTGTCGCGGGTGGATCCTAACCCAACCATTATCAACCCGAACCGTTAAGAACAACCAAATTATTGATTTTAGCGGGTGAATTGGTTTGGTGAACGGATTGGTGCAAATTGTTACATCTAATTGATGGTACATCCAGGATCCCGTTCTTAAATTAAAATACATTACTCCCACATGTACCACCCTGTAATTTATTGAAACAAAAATCAGATGGTCATTTCCATAATAAAAAAATCATATACGCATTGTTAATGTTTGGGACAAAAAATGACTGTAAACTGTTGCAATTTTTTTTTAATGACGGTAAATAATTTATACTAAATTTGTCTAAACTATGCATTAGTTGAACCGGGATTGCAGTGAGTTGAAGAAAACCCTATCTAAAGTAATCTCAACAATTTTTCAGTAAGAAAAGCACATTAGTTAAAAAGTAGGTATGAACTTTTTTGCACAGAAAGCATCCACAAGACAGAATAGTTCATGGTGCTTCGAAGTATAAGATTTTTAACCAATAGATCTTAGTCATTGTATTTTTTGACTAAGATTCTATCAGTTAAAAATCCTATAGCGCCATAGAAAATCACCCAAGGGACGTAGTATGTCAAGAGTCTAACTGTCCCAAGAAAACAGAAGAAATAAACATGATCAAACAAATATATACATGTGAAATTTTGGTTAAATCAAGATGCTTGCAAAACCTTCTGAAACTTAGAATCTTCTCATTTTATTCTCCCATCAGGTCCAATATTGCTTTTGGTTCATGGGAAATTCCTCTATAGTTGTCGAATACCCGTCAGCTATATATACCCCATGGCTTTGCGAAGATAGCATCAATGAGGGAAAGAGTACCTTAACATTTATTATTGTTCAACTGCTATGGCGGCCTCCTCTGTACGAGGGGGCCTCCATTTCCGATCAAATGTACCCCTTTCCACAACATTTTCCTTTGGGAGCTTCTTCAGCTTCTCATCAATGAGCTCCATCAACTCTTGCAAGCCAACTCCCATTAAGGCAGATGTTCTTACATGTGGACCGGACTGAACTGGTGATTGCACTTGCTTTTCTGTTCCCCAGTCCTTAGGATATTCACTTTGTTGGTCATCCGTAGTTTTCAAGGCTGAACATGACCCACCTCGCCCCCAAGGATCTTCGACATCTTCTGATGCCAACCAACCATCAGAGTAATCACCTTCTTGGTCATCCACAGCTTCAAGATTCTCTGATGACAGATCATTTTCTGATCCTGAGAACTCACATTCCATATCTTCTTCTCCTGAGAATTTGCTAGTCTCACCATCTTCACCGTCAACAAGACACTCATTAAAATCTGCACCGTCCTCCTCATGGTCAATCTGAGGAATTCCAAAGGATACAGATGAATGCATCAGCGTTTTTTTTTTTTTTTTTTTTTTTTTTTTTTTTTTTTTTACTTTTAGTTCCATTTTGGTAAGTTTACAAGTGGAGAGACCAACAATACCTTATTCCAAACTTCTATCATGTTTTCAAGCTTTTCCTTGGATACGCCAATTTGTTCAAGAACTTGTAATACAGTTGATCGATGCTCATCAAGATTAGGTGCCGTACAATCCAACACATGCTGAAAGGATACATAAACATTTATTAGATGTGACAGTATTAATTAGCCCAAACCCGAAATGTTAATCTCTCTGCTGCTGTGTTTTATCTCTATTTCATATCATATCTGATGATGTACAATACCACACAGAAGCTCAGAAACATATCATTAGCGGGAAGTTGATCACATCGTATTAATATGTATCATAAAATTTATTTCAAACGTACATGGGGAAAAACCCAAAATGAAAGGCAAGTAATTAATCGTACCACAAGCAGATCAGCTTCCACAACTTCTTCTAAAGTTGCATGAAATGCTTCCACTAGCTACAAAAGTAGTTTCTATGAGCAATGAACAGCATTAGTGATAAGACACAAAATAAGTAAAGTAGTTTGGACATGCTTCTATATACCTGCACTGGCAAATCTGATATAAATCCGACCGTGTCACTCACGAGCACTTTCTTCCTGAAGATTAGATACTCAGAATAAGCGCAAAAATTGTTCTAGAAAATCATCCAAGAAACAATACATTATCAAAATTCCAAAATACAACGAACAAGAAGTAAAGTTATCATTGCCGGTTACCCTGAAGGAAGAACAACACTTCTCAATTTTGGATCAACTGTAGCAAACAATCTGCAAACAGACCACATCTTTGTCAAGATTTTAAAACCCAACATCAAGGCTTAAAATACATATGGTTATACATGAATAACATGTTGTGTGAGTGGAATATATTACCGAGAATCACTGTATAGATCACTGTTTGAGATGGCACTAACTAATGTAGATTTCCCCTATCACAAGAAGTGAGAATTAAATGTTTAGATAATTGGTGCAAATTGAACAAGAAACAAATACAGTTGGTTAGACCACATACAGCATTTGTATACCCAACAACAGCAACAGTAGGTAAACCTTGACCATAAGATCCTCCATGATTCTTGCGACCAGCGCGTTGCACAGCTCGAGTACGACGAACATCTTGAATTTGCGATAACAGACTATTTCTCCTTTCTGAAATTCTGAGATTATAGTCCAGTTAGGTGGAAGCACATATGCAATAATAGTCATCTAGACTCCACACCTAGATCAATAGCACTCTTATTTATATATAAGAAAAGAAGAGTAGCGACAAAACTTTGAGCTTTAATCTAGAAAAGAAAAGAGATACCGAAATGAAACAAGTCAAAAAGAAAAAAAAAAAAGAAAAAGGAACAAGTAAAAAGAAAGAAAATTGTATTAGTTGGAATCTAGTGGTTGATATAGGCAAAAGACCGTTTGATAATGAATTGGCTGAAATATCACATAACACAAATTTTAGTAGGAGTAACTTGTCAAACCTATGCAGTTATGAAAAGCTAGTGCTTTTTCTTCATAAGCTCAAAGAAATAGCCACTTGCAGTGAAACTTCCGTAAAACTAGAGCATTCAGAAATAAAGAAACAGAACATATTAGAGTCAAGGAATGAACCTTCGTCGTTGAAGCTGAAGTTCAGTTTCTCCTGCACCACTAATGAAACCACGTCCCCCACTTCCTCTCCTGCAATCAAGACCTATCTAGTCAAAATCTTCTCTACGTATGGACCGAACAACTAAGTAAATAAATTCTTTGGTCTACTTAATTTTTTCAAATTTAGACAAAACATTACCCTCGGGCACTAACAACTTCAGCTTCTCCATCCATTCCAAAAGTAGAGCGTCCAGCTTTGCCACGCAGTCGTACAAGTCTTGTTTTCTTATACATTAGAGCCGCTAATTCAGCCTGTAAAATAAAATAAAAAAAGTGCCATAGCTCCTTCAAAGCTCTTCACCTTCACTAAAATACTAACTCCTTAACCAAAGATAGCACCAATACCTGTAGCTTTCCCTCCTTTGTGCAGGCATGAGCATTGAATATCTCTATTATAAGACCCACGCGGTCCAACACCGCCTTTCCCAAAATTTTCTGCCATTCAAAACAGCATTACTAAAGTTAATACCATTTTTCAATTTTCATCATATACACTTTGGTGTGGGACAAATAAGATCCAATTTTTCTTGGGCACGAAGAAAAACTGAATATGCACAATTCACTTGCCTCCAAATTCCTCTGCTGAATCCCAGACAGAATTGTATTTATAAATACAGCATCTACTTCACCCTGTTAAGACTACACAAAGTTAGAGCGATAGTCTACACTAAATTAATCTAAACTACGGGAGGCAATAAATAACTTCTCAAACATTCCACAAATACAAATGTGATCAAAACTGATCAGAAAAACGAAACAAAACAAAAAGAAAGCTCTTACCTTTTGCTCCACAGCGTTCAGATGGCATTTCACAACATCCAAAGTCCCTTTTCCAAAATATGTATCTGCAAAATCCAAAATTTAATCAAATGGGGTTTACCATTTACATCATACATTGAAAAAATAAAATTAAAAATAAGGACAGACCTGCGCGGGTTTGGCGTCGAACAATGGGGTTTTGAACAACAACATGGGGAGGAATTTCCTTATCGAAAAAATCGATATCGAAATACCCATCTCGCTGTTCTTCAAGCGAATTGGCGAGGCAGAGAGCTTCGTTGAGCTTGGCCTGCAAGAAGGTATCGGGGCGGAGGCGGGGCTGGACGACGAAGAGCTTGGGAGGGACTGTTGGATCTCTGTTGAAAACCGAAACGGCCTCGGTTTTTTCCTCCTTGTCTTGCTTCGACGAGGAGGAGGAGGAGGAGCCGAAGGAGTGGGAAGTCGGAATCGAAGGCGGTGATGGGGTTGGGTTTGGCGTGGAAGTTGAAGTGAGAGGGGTTAGGATTTGGGAGAAGGACCTCAGAGGATTCCGCGAGAGAGAGATGGTTCTCAGCATTTGAACCCTGTGCAATTTCCAGCCGCTGCTTCTTCTTCGATTGGAAAAAACGGCGTGCTTTGAGTTTGATCTGCAGAAGTGAGCTCTGGTGAGGAAGACGGTAGTTGGCCTATTATTTGGGCCAAGAGAAACCACATAGGAAAGGAAGTTGGGCTCGTTATGATTGTTTCATCTCTCACGATTGTAAAAACATGAACGTTCCACGCACAGGACCTTCTGTATGTTGGGCTCATAAATCTCATGAAATGCTTGTGTCTTTTTGTAATGCATGTTTTGTAATATTATTTATTTTATTAACTTTCAATTTTCATTAAGTCGAGTTAAACATAATCTTGAGCTAGTTTAGAAAACAAGCCCAACCATGCCAAGCAAAAGCTCAAGTTCGATTTACCAAGGAGCTGAGTTTGGTTATATGTTTTATGAGCTTGGCCAAGCTTGAGCACCAATAATATCATCTTATCAACATTGGCGTAACATAGCACGGTTGAATCTATTTGACATATCTATGTTCGGTAGACGCCTAACATAATATAGAGCAACAAATTATCCAAACTAGAAATTGTTAACCGTTGGTTAACGTTGTCTTAATTTTAGCTTTTCACTTAATAACATGGTTTTGCTCGACAAATTCCCAATTTTTTGTCACTTAAACCTTATTTTTATTTTCTTTTTTGTTTCATTTTATATTTTGAATTGTATAAGAAAATCAATATATATATATATATATATATATATATATATCTATATTTAAAAAAAAAAACCTTTGCTCAGTGAAATACCAACATTTCACCGCGTAAACCTTTTTTATTTTTATTTATTTTTTATATTTGAATAGTAAAAATATTTTTTTCCTTTTCTTATTTCTAAGAAAAAGTACTTTGTGCGGCAAAATATACTTTATCACCTAGACCCTATTTATTTTGTATTTCTTAAATTGTAAAAATATATTTTCTTTTTTCTTTTTTTGAAGAAACCTTGTGCGACGAAATCCTATTTATTTTCTTTTTTATTTCATTTTATATTGTATATTGTATAAGAAAATACTATTTATTTTCTTTTTATTTCATTTTTTATTTTAAATTATAAATGATAATCATTACCTTTTTTTTTCAAAACCTTTGTGCGATGACATCCCAATATTCTGTCGCCTAAGTCCTATTTATTTTCTTTTTGTTTGATTTTATATTTTAAATTGCATAAACAATCATTTCCTATTTTATTTTTTGAAAACCTTTTATTTTTTTTATTAATTTATATTTTAAATTTATAAAGATTTTAATTTTTTTTTTTAACTTTGAGCGACAATGTCATAATATTTCGTCAGTAAGCCCTATTTATTTTCTTTCTTATTTAATTTTATATGTTAAATTGTAAACGAAAATTATTTTATTATTTGAAACACTTTCTATGGCGAAATTCTAATATTTTCGTAGCTCAAAACTTATGAGAATTGTCACAGCCCGTCCTGAAAGATTTTCTTTGATGATGTGAAATGAAATGTCTAATTTACCCTTAAACGTTTGTGGTGTTGTGTGGTTTAAGTTGTGTTGAGGACCAATTATTTTCTTTCCTAAATTTTTGGACCCAACTAGAACTAAAATTTTTCCTAGTTTTGGTTGGTGACAAGCTGGACCACACACCCACACACACACCCAATCCCGTTGACCTTATCTCTCTCTCCTCCCTTTCGGTTTTTCTCCATTTTCCGTACAATACGTATGGACAAACCTCAAACCAAGCAATTTCTTCATGGATCGAGGTTTTTGAAGTCACATTCGTGTTCCTTGTGAGCTCAGGAACACATTTATACCATTTTTAGATCATGAAGACCTCATTTTCCCGAGAACCCAGTTTTGGGTTATTGTTCATGCACTCGTGATTTCAAAGTTTTTAGGAGATTTTAAGCTGCTAGGAAGCTTTAGGACGTCTTCGTGAAGCTCGGAGAAGAAAAATGAAGTGTTTTGGACGTTGGGAAGTTGAGTTTGACAAGTTTCAAGTTTGGCCGGAATATCGAGGTTTCTCCGGCGAAATCCCGTGGATTTCAAGGCTTGAAAGTGGTAAGGTTATGTTCTTCTAGTCCTAAGCTTCATTTTGGTACAAATTTCATGAGTTTTGGTGGAAAAATGAGCGAGATATTGAAGTTTTAAACTTTCCCAGTTTCCGGCGATCGCAGAGGGGCCAGCACCGGACTCCAGCGAACCAAGGAAGAATGAGTCAAAGTTGACGGAATATTCTAACGTTGTCAGGTAACTTTAACGACATATTCTGATTTTTTACGGAATATTCCCTAATGCCGTTAGGGAATCCGTTTGGTGTGCCAGGCACGTGCCTGCTCGTGAGCCGCTCGTCTGGCGGTGCCTTGGCCGACGCTTGAGGGCGTGTGGGGTCACGAAATTTTTTTCTAAAAATATGGGGATGTTCTTGAGGTTGAGTGGATCATGGTGATATATTCAAATACCCCATTTGAGCAATGTATGAGAAGTTATTTCCTAGTTTTGTGTATGTGCTTTAAATAACATTTATTCAATTATTTCGCATATAGGTGAGACATATCCTGCGGACGAGCACCATCAATCGAGGCTCGGGTGCTACGACCCTTCGACATATCAGTGAGTGGGCTTTTGGTTTTCTGTATATACCTATATACTTGAGATTTTTTCCCAGAAAATGAATTTGAATGATTATACATTTTGAAATGCCATGCAAAGTATCTGTCTATTTTATTATGTATTAGTAGTTGCATATATTGATGATTGGTGCTGCGAACACACAGGTCAGTACCAGGTAAGTTCATAAATTAAAAATAGGAGATTGCTTCAATTATGTGAGATATGATGTGATGTATTGAGAGCTCATAAACCTGCACCCCGGTGTTAGTGCTCCCGCCCAGAGTTAGGGCATAGTCTTGTTGTACTGACCACTTTAGTTGGTTCCGACTCATAGGTGACCCGTAATTATTCTTACAGCCTTCACGTGATCGTAGCATTAGAGCATATTTATTTTACACATAGTCTTGTCATACATACCACTTTAGGTGGCTCCGACTCGTGTGCATGATTTAATTTGATATGATTGAGATTGGTTATGAGCTATATATTTAGCCGTGCAGATTGAGTTAGAGAGATTTTGCTGATGTGAAATTTGACATTGATATATTTTGCCTGGATTACTTATAGCATTGCATTGAGATACTTTGGCATGGTATACTTCTATAGATTTTCATCTTGAGTATGATTTCTGATACAGCTTATTATTATTATTATTATTTTCTGGGAAATTATACAGGTTTTACGGCGAGAGGTTAGAACTTTTGAGAAATGAAATGATTTTGAAAAGCTTTGTTTTTGCCCATTCACACTTTATGTTTTGCGCCACTCCAGATTTTAGGTAGAAGTGCTTTGGTATATCGAGCACCACGCATTCTTATTAAAAATATTTTTTACACATGCGGGAGCGCATGTAGGAAAGCTAGTTTATATTAAATTAAGAGATTGGAAAAAAGGTTATGTTTGATAATTGATTTATAAGTCAAAATTGTAGTTTTTACATCAAATTATGACTGAAGTACAAAAATGATCCATTTAATTTGGTCAGATTTCCATCAAAGTCTATAATATACTAATTTTGATAAATGTGATGCATTCTCTAAAGCACGCAATTTCAGCCTAGATCCTCAATTTCAACAGATTTTATGGCTAAATAGTGTTAGAGGCTTTTTCTGCTTTGAATTTTGGGTCATATACACCAAAAAACCAAAGCTTAATTGTGCAATTTTGATGCAGTAACATGTCACATTAACTAACATGCACACATCCACAATAACAACAAAGTCTTTTCCCACTAAGTGGGGTCGGCTATATGAATCCTAGAACGCCATTGTGCTCGGTTCTGTGTCATGTCCTCCGTTAGATCCAAGTACTCTAAGTCTTTTCTTAGAATCTCTTCCAAAGTTTTCCTAGGTCTTCCTCTACCCATTCGGCCCTGGACCTCTATCCCGTAGTCGCATTTTCTAACCGGAACGTCAGTAGGCCTTCTTTGCACATGTCCAAACCACCGTAACTGATTTTCTCTCATCTTTCCTTCAATTTCGGCTACTCCTACTTTACCTCGAATATCCTCATTCCTAATCTTATCTTTTCTTGTGTGCCCACACATCCAACGAAGCATCCTCATCTCCGCTACACCCATTTTATGTACGTGTTGATGCTTCACCGCCCAACATTCTGTGCCATACAGCATCACCGATCTTATTGTCGTCCTATAAAATTTTCCCTTGAGCTTTAGTGGCATACGACGGTCACACAACACGCCAAATGCACTCTTTCACTTCATCCATCCAACTTGTATTCTATGATTGAGGTCTCCATCTAATTCTCCGTTCTTTTGTAAAATAGATCCTAGGTAGCAAAAGTGGTCGCTCTTTGGTACTTCCTGATCTCCGATCTTCACGCCTAACTCATTTTGGCCTCCATTTGCACTGAACTTGCACTCCATATATTTTGTCTTTGATCAGCTTAGGTGAATACCTTTAGATTCTAACACTTCTCTCCAAATATTAAGCTTCGTATTTACCCCTTCTTGAGTTTCATTTATCAACATTATATCGTCTGTGAAAAGCATACACCAAGGAATATCATCTTGAATATGTCCAGTTAACTCATCTGTTACCAATGAAAAAAGGTAAGGACTTAAGGATGAGCCTTGATGTAACCCAACAATTATGGGGAAGCTTTTAGTTTGTCCTTCATGAGTTCTTACGACAGTTTTTGAGGGTGAGCGGTTATATTTTTCCAAAGCAGAAAAAAGTTTCATTAACTTGTTGAAGATTTTGTGGGTGAGCGGTTGTATTTTTCCAAAATCAAACTTAGTGGATTAACGTGCTAAGTTAATAATGCTTTTCAACCTAAACATTGTTGACACATGACACATGAATACTCGAACTTCTTTATCTTTCTATATAAGATGAATTTCCTCTTATTATGCCAAGAAAACTAGTGTTTTAGGTTCTCATTGTTTCAATGTGGAGTATCTGATGCCAACAATATTTGCTCTCATTCTTTGTGAGTGTAATCCATAT